TATTTTCCAAGTACTGTCCTTTTATTTTATTTTATTTTTTATTATTATTTTTTTTGAGATGGAGTCTCACTCTGTTGCCCAGGCTGGAGGTCAATGGCGCAATCTTGGCTCACTGCAAGCTCCACCTCCTGGGTTCAAGTAATTCTCATGCCTCAGCCTCCCCAGTAGCTGACACTACAGGTGTGTGCCACCATAACTCGCTAATGTTTGTATTTTTAGTAGTGACGGGGTTTCGTCATGTTGGCCAGGCTGGTCTCGAACTCCTGACCTCAAGTGATCCCCCCGCCTGCTCCACACCAACTCCATTCAGGAAATTCCTAAGTGTGCATTTGGTGCTCTCAAACTGTAGGCATGCCTCCGAGAAAAAGAATGAACAAAGGGGAAAACTAATTTCATAAGGTCAGGAGATCGAGACCATCCTGGCTGACACGGTGAAACTCCATCTCTACTGAAAATACAAAAAATCAGCCGGGCGAGGTGGCGGGCGCCTGTAGTCCCAGCTACTCGGGAGGCTGAGGCAGGAGAATGGTGGGAACCCAGGAGGCAGAGCTTGTAGTGAGCTGAGATCGTGCCGCCACTGCACTCCAGCCTGGGCGACAGAGCGAAACTCCCTCAAAAAAAAAAAAAAAAAAAAAAAAAAAAAAAACTAACTCTAATAAAAGTGTAGGATAAAGAGCATTTCATATTCAAGAAGCTTCTCTGCATCCTGGGACTTCTCTGCTGCCCCCTCCGCTTCACCAGCCTCCTTCCTTGCCCTTTGAGGAGAATGTGCACACACGTGCATGTGGCATGGTAGGTATGTTGCACAATATTGTTTGGCAATGCTTTCAGGTCTCGTGCCCAAGTTCTTTGATGTGAGTTATTTAAATTTAAGAGCAATGGCTGAAGATGAAAGAGTAAAAAAGTCCCCTTGTGCTATTTCTTGTAAAAAGTCATAATTGTGTGTCATATGTGATGACAAAGTGAGTAAGCAAACATAAGCATCTCCAGGGAATCCTTTGTTCTGCTGTTTTCCACCTGGTAAAATTGTCTGATGGAGGGAAGGGGATACTAACTAGCATTCTGATTCTAAAGAAATCATGTTTGTTTATCAGCGTTACTTGTTTTGGGAAACCAATAAGAAATTGAGTCAATCAACCCCTTAAATTAACTATCTGGAAAGACACACATTGCAATGTATTAAGAACCCAAGTATTATAAGTCAGTATTGACCATCAGGACTTTGAAGCAAAGAATAGTTGTCCATGTCTTCAGACAGGTCAAGGAGTTGAGAGGAAAACATTCGGGAGTGGACACAAGATGACCTGAATTCGGGTTAAAAGATGCAATCTGTGTGGTCAGCCGCAGGAAGGATGCCTTAGGTCTCTCTTTTGCAGAAATAAAAGGTCAGGGCAGTTATGTGATTCTATGAAGTTCCTCATGGTTGTTATTTTGGGGATGTATTGATTGGAACCTTCCATTCAGGTCGTGGCTCTGCTGCCATCTGGCAACATGACACGAATCCAGACTTCACACTTCACCTTCATAACCTCAGGGGAAAAATGAGGATGATAAGGTCTTTCTGTCCACATCATATGTTCGTTCTGAGGAAAGAAAAATTCTGATTTTTTTATACATGTGTATACTATGCACACACGTAGGCTTACTGAAGCTTTGAGTCACTATTTAATGTATTTTTTTGCTTATCTCAAGAAGGCTTGTGGAAGTTCACAACATCCACCAATTTCAGGCTGCAGAATAAAATACCAGCAGGGCATAGTGGTAACAACCCCAGGCTGTGAAGTTAGGATGCGCTGAGTGTGAATCGTGACTAGTAACCTGTGTGACTTCTGGCAAGTTACCTAAGTTGTCTGAGCCTCTTCTTCCTCATCTCTAAAATGAATATTGTTTCAGTCCTGCTGCCATCGAGGTCTTGTGCATTAAATGAGAGTCACTGTAACATTTAAGCTCAGAACCATACCTTGAGCAGAGCAAGCACTGCCCCAGTGGTAGATATCAGCATCTGCCAGGCAAGGACACTTGTGTCCCCCATCGGTGCCTGCAGAGCACCAAAGCCACAGAGAGACGTGGTTTCGCCTCTTGTGGTGCTTGTGATCTACGGAGAGACAGACCTTGAAGAAACAAGCAAAATATCACACAGGAGACCTGGAACATTGCAGGACTGATGAGAGCAACGGTGAGTCGGGGGAGCTTTAAGCAACTCCAACAGGAGGACCCTTTCTGGCCTTGATTGAGAAAGGGTCACACACTTGCTCCGGCACACACCTGCCACTTGGGTGTGGGGACTCACTGTGGAGGCAGCACTGCCCCTCCCATCCAGCCAAGGGCTCCTGTCTGTGCCTCACCCATCTCCTCCCCTCCCCAATAGGTTCATGCCGGGCTGCAGTTGGCTTTGTAGCTGCCTGGTTCCTCCTTGCAACCTCTCTGCTAGCGCTTTGTTCTGTGGCAAGAGCAGGGACTGAGCATGAAGTAGCTGGGGACACCACAGCGACATCTCCTGATGGGCACCGGGCGAGATTGGCTCTTGCTCTTGAAGCCTCTTCCAACTGCTGCTCATCCCACCACGCTGCCAAGCTGCGCCGAGGCGCTGTGGGAAACAGGCGGGAGGTGAGGAGGCTCGTCGGGGAATGGCAGCTTACCAGCACTGCTCACTCGCAGCCCTGCTTGCAACAGCAGAGTGAGACGTGCTGGAGACCACGCTGGAGTTAACGTACTTGTGGCTGCGAGCTTCTTCTTTAAAGCCTCTCTGTGATGAGAAGCAAACGCTTTCTCGCCCAGCCATCACCCTAGCATCATCTATTATGCATCGTCTTATGCAAAATAAATAAAATACAGAAAACAGCATGTATCTCTGTGAAAACAGCATTTTCATAAATTATACAAAAATGAATGAATTGGAGGAACTTCGAGAAAAAGGTTTGCCAAAATTTTGATCTTGACTAACTTTCAAATTAGGGTCTAAATGAAGTGTTCAAAGACAGATTTCAGCTTTGTTTCCCCACTCCACCAACATCAGAAGAACATGTAATTTAGACACGTTACTTTCCGGCCACCATACCTGCCCTTTGAGTGAAACAGGGGTCAGTGTATACAAGTCTCCCAGACAGCACAGTTGCTCTGTGTGGTGATGGAGCTATTGGGGCCATTAATAAATGCTGACCACCTTGTGGGGGCTGTGTGTGTCTGTGGAGCTCGTCTGAAGCACCTTCCTTCGGTGACTCCACTTCCTGTTAGGTTTCCTGCAGATACAGAAGTAGGGCAACTTTGGATTAGTGCAGGCACATTGTGTGAAGCTCAGAAGTTTCACAGGCAGAGTCCTAGCGCTGTGTTTCTCGATATAGTTTAAGCACTCAAATATGTTGCATATTGCAGAGAGGAAGTGAGAGAGCTGTGTGCCTTCTTAACCCTCGCTGGGAATTATCAGTAGAGCTGAGCTGTGCTGTCATGGGAACAGGGTTGTTGAAGCCAGCACTGAAGAGGGATGTTAGTTTGATGGTGGTCCTCAGTCTGACTTGAACTAGAAGGTTCTCAAAGGAAAATACAGAAGCCTTGTCTTTCTGAGGCCTGTCTGTAACATACGCTCATTCCTTCCAAATTATTTGCTGGAAAAAATTTAATAAACAATCATGGAGTAATTAACATGTTCCAGTTCCTGTCTATACTGGTTGATACTGAGCCAAGAGTATGAATGAACTTATGAGGTGGGTGACGTTGTTATCGCCAGTTTACAGATGAGGAAACTGAGGCACGGTTTAACTTGCCCAATGTCATAGCAGTAGAGTTAAGATTTGAAATCAAATGTCTGACTGTCTTTCATCAATGAAAACTGAGCTACGCTCTATCAGCTCAGCACATAACAACACAGGAATGTCCTAATTATTTCCAATGTTCCCCCGAGTGATTATTTTTTCTTATAATAAAAATTATCTGGAAATTTCTAGGCCCATAAGCAGCTTGAAAAGGTTGCATGTGAGGCAATGAATAGCAGAAATATTTGTGTGCCATTTTTATATCAACATGTTAATGTGTACTAATGAACTTTAGAGTGGATTTTTTTTAAAAAAAACATGACTATTGTCCCCCCTTGACACAAGGAGCATGATAATTAAAAGCTTATGTGATTTAAATACAAGATGCAATGATGATTACCAGATTCTATTCCTCTTTATATTTTACATAAGACTTCTAGGGTTCCATAAGTATAATCTTGAAACATAGGACATTTCTGAAAAAAAAAAATTGCTTAAAACTATTTCAATGTGCAATCCACTTCTTTGTAAATCTTAGTTTCTTTCATCCAAATGTTACATTTGACAACAAAACTCTCCGATGAGAGCCTTCTCTTCCTTTTGTGTCATTGTTCCCTAAATAAAGCAACACATGAAATTCCTGACGGCAAAAATCAGACTCAGATCCCAAAACCTCTGTCTTTATGCAAGATTTATCTTTTGCAACGGAAACGGCCAAGGAATATGAAGAGGGGGAGACAAGAGGCAAACAAACAAGCAAACAGACAAGCATGCAGGCTCTGAGGAATAAATACCCCTCAGGACGCTGTCTCCTGGGGAATTGCAAACCTCAGTCCGTTTCTGAGGAAGTGCGGTCTCTGCATTTCCGAAAGAGGTATTTACCCCCCTTGACACAAGGAGCATGATAATGAATTAACTAGTTAAAAACTGTTGGTTGGAGAAACCCGTTCCTGTGTCTTTCTGAGCAGGGCGAGCTGAGCGGTCCGCGTGGCTGCAGCAGGAGGCCTCGTCCTCCCGGGCAGGGTCCCTCCCGGAGGCTCCCCGGGCCTTTCCCAGACGCACCCGCGCCGCGTCCTTGTTCCCCGGGAGCAGCCTCGCTCCAGCCGCCGGTCCTGGGAGCTTCACCGTCCAAATGGGAGCTGAGTTTGCAAGCTGCCAGGCGGCGGTGCGGCTGGTGCTGCTGTGATGTCAGAGCCCGAAAGCAGTTGTGATTGGATCTAATTAGACGCTGCGGCAGCAAATAGACAAGCTCCCTGCGTGATTGGCTTCAAAGTGGCTGGTGCCAAACAACTAGCAGAGGCGCAAAAGTAGCGCTGGGAGCCCGGAGCAGGAGGCAGAGCCCGCGGGAAGCTCGGAGCACTCCGGACGCCGCGCGCCCCTCCCCGCCCTCCCTGACCAGGGAGCAGCTCACGCCAGACGCGCAGCCGAGGCTCCCAGCCCAGTGGGAGCAAGTCACAGAAAACGATTTGAGAGACGGAGAGAGACGGTCGGAGCGCGCTCTCCTGCTCGGTCCTGAAAAGTGAGCCGCTCCCGGGTTTGCAACCTCAAGCTTCGCAGCAGCGGCGGCGGCGGCAGCGGCCGGGAAGGAGGCAGGTGCAGGTGCAGGAGGGAGGCGGCTCTGGGCTCCGCGCCTGGGTCTCGGCCATGGCCTCAGTCCTGGGGAGCGGCAGAGGCTCTGGAGGGCTGAGCAGTCAACTCAAATGCAAGTCCAAGAGGAGGAGGCGGCGGAGGTCCAAGCGGAAAGGTAAGACCTCGTGGCGCGCCGGCCCCTGCACCCTCCACCCCCGCTTCTCCACCCCGGCCTCTCCTGGGGTCTCCAGGCTTGTCCGTTGTGAGCAGCTTCACTTTGGGGTGCTGGCGGGATAGCCGCTCCGCGCAGGGCGCTCGGGAGTTCAGATCCCGTGGAAATGTCTGGGGCCTCCTCGTGCCCAGAGGGGACAGTGAGCAGCAACGCCGTGGCATGTTTGAGGGACCGGGACGAAGTGGGGCGAGGGCGGCGAGGAGCTCCCGGTGGACCCCGCACGTCTCCGGGCCCCGCAGTCCCCACTGGCCGGCCGGGAGGGCACTGCCTTCCGCCCTCCGGAGGCCACCTCGTCTCCCGGTGCCAGAGGAATTACCCAAAAACGGGGGAACGAGCCCTCGCGCCAGCGACTCCCATCCAAACCGTCCCCGAGGAAGGGGTGGGCGAAGCCCTGCGATCGCCTCCCCAAATTGGCTGGCAGTTTTTACTCAGTGGGGTGTCCGTCGATTTGTAAACACCGGGACGTTAAGAGAACACAGGGCTCGTCCTTGGAGAAATAAGCAGAAATGAATACAGGAAAACAGAAAGAAGCATCCTATTTTGTTAGTGGTAGAAAAAAACCCCCGCAAACCAGGAAAGCAGGAAAAGCAGCCGGCTGACAGTTGCCACTGACAAACTCAGGCTGTGCCTTGTCACTGATATTCCCGGGGCTGGGCCGTGCTGAAGTTAGTCAATGCTACGGCAAGCGACGGCTTTCACATTGGGGATTGTGCAAAATTAGCAATCGCTCCAATATGAGAGCAATGCCCCCACTGCCATTGTCGCCCGCGTGCACGCCACGAAGGATTCAAAGATTCTTCTCGTGCCGACCCTTCTCTCCCAAAGAGGAGCCTGTTCCTGTCAGCTCCTAGTGAGCCTGCAGGAGAAAGTTCAGTTCTAATCATGATTTGAAATGTGCCGATTTTTTTAAGTGATGTAGGAGTATAAAGAACGGTTGGGAAAACACAGCTAGAATTGATCAGCTTTGCCAGTTGTTTGAAAGCAGGAGGCAACCTGAGGTATGTTTGGGGTTGTCCATCTTTCCCGGAGAATTTTCATCTTTGCATTGGCCTAAGATAAGTTTCTACCAGACCGTTTCCTGTATGCCCTCTAACCGTCTCCAGGTCCTTTATTGTTTCTTGCAATAATAGAAATTACCCAGACAGTCTGAAGGCATAAATGTCAATAGCAAACAGACATTCATTATGACCGAATGTCAGGAACACTGGGAGCGATTGGCCCCTACAACTTCCTCAAAAGGCTTTGGAGCCCTTGGTTTCAGAAGGGGAGTGAGGTTGTGGTTCTCATTTACCTCTCAGCTGCTAAGTGTGCGCTTGCGATTCACTTTGTTGTTTGAAATTATCATTTTGAAACAGACCTGTTAGTGTCCTTCAGAGATAATGCCAACACAAAGTGGCATTGATATTGAGAAAGTCACCGGACTGAATAATGAATACGACTTTTAAAAGAGGAAAAGGGAAGCATCATCTTTACACTTCAAGTGTTCACGTTTCCCAATATTTTTGATTAGTCTGTTTAAACATTTGGAGTTGAAGAACGTGGAGTAATAGTTCACAATAATGCAGTTTATAGAAATATAAACTGGAGGAAATTGTTGCCTTTCTCCAGATTCACTTGCCTTACCATGAAGCATCAGTCGTGCTGGCTTAGAAAGTATTCAATTTAGGGGGAAAAAGGAAATCTGGGGAAAGACTTCATTTGCTGCAAACTTAACTTTAGTGATTCAAAATAAAACTCCTATAGCAAATATTTCCATACCTTGATTATTTTGAATATATCAAGTCCCTTAATTTTCATAGCCAAAAATTGAAACCAGAAAGGGCATTGAGGATTTATACACTGATTTCTATTACGAAGAGGTTTCTGGCGTGCGGGAGAATTTCCCATGGCACCTGCCTGCGGCTATCTTGATAGGAAAGTGAAATCAAACTGCTAAATATTCAATTTTGGGGGAAATGTTAACCATGTAGATGTACCTGATCAAATTAAAAGGTAACATAGCCAGCTAAGAGACACATTAAATACTTATTTGCATTTTCCTGGGAATTGGTTACTTCATCTATAATACCTAGTTATTACAGATGCTGATTTTTTTATTTTATAAAAAAAATGGTGAGTTTAAATTATGTCCTAATTGTTATGAATCTTAATCATAAATGAATAGAATAACCTCAGCTTTTAAGCTTATCTGATATTAAAACTCTATACTTGCCACAATTTAAAATCCACGTGTGTATGAGAGACTGTTAAGGAATTCTAGTGTGTCTCTATCGGGTGTAACTGAAGACGTTGATAGAAGCACAAAGTAAGGGCTGTCTTATTAGGGGAATAAAGACGATTAAGATACGTGCTGACCCTCTTGCCTGTGAGATGCGTATTTCCACATAGTCTAAGGGACAAGAATCATTTCTGAAGACGCAAGATAACTTTTAGTTTCCCAGTGTGGTGACATCTGGCTCCTTTTCTATGTGTGACTCTGAGAGTGACTTTGGCATCATACGCTTCTTATCAAAATGATCTGTGAGCTCTGAAATAAAGCACGCCAAGGCTACAGCTGAAGTGTGGTCAGGACACAATACTTTCATTAAGTACAATCCATAGTCTTGGAAATATTATTCTTGCCTGTGGAAGGTATATTTTAGTTACCATGCCACAAAGGAAGCCGTATGTATCTTTAAAAATAAAAAAAAAAATAGAAATAAAAAAAAACCTTTGTCACAGAATATGACTTTCAGGTATTATTTGGCAGGAACCTGTATTCCTCTCTCAGATAAACTTTAAAGAAGATTCTCAGAATATGTCTCCCCACACATCAATCCTACTTCTGTTATTTTACTGGGACCTAGTGTTGTACAATTTTGCATTTTCTGTGTTATTTTTCAGTAGGGACTTTCTTTTAGAAATTATTCATAAATGATTTAAATTTTTTATGTAAATGAAAAAATGCCAAAATTTGACTCTCATATGAGAGAAAAACAAGCTGCTATAAAAAAAAAAAAAAAACTGTGGGAAGGACAGGGGAAAACCTTTCTCATTTTCACATCAATGGCAAAGCGATGTTCATATCCCATGACACATGCCAGACACGTCAGTATGTCCCGCGCCTACCTCATTCAGAGGCGTTCGGAAAAGAATAGCACTTGGAGTTTATGATGACTGTTACCTGCCATCACTAAATACCCACAGAGTTCATATCTCACAGAGAGTAACAGGAGATTGCACTTTATTTTATAGTTCTTGGTAGAATTATACAAGGTAATTATGTACAACCAAATCCATATTATGTGGTTATAGAGAGTAATATCTGCCTGTATTAGAAATAGCTCAATGCGTAAGTGTTATGAAAGGATACATTTTATCCAAAAACTAATAAAGGAAAAGGCTTAAAGATTTTGTTTTGTTAGTATCAGTTCAGCCAGGTAGAATAGAGGCAGAACTCATCAAAACAGTATAGTATATAAAAATAAATCACTTTAAAATATGCCAATAAATCTCTGAACCCCGGGATAACTTCAGGGTAATATGTATGAGGAATTTCTTAAATGTTTTTAGTTATTAAAACAGTGCATATATTCTGTTTTGTCTATCTGTTTTTCTCTCTTTGGTGAATGTATTTTTTCTAAAAGAAGCTACGCATTGGCATGAAAGTCATTTTGCAAATGAACTATTTTTAATCTTCTACCCATTACTGTGTACAATGTATAAAATGACTGAAGTTTCCAGAATTTTTCTTTGAAAAAGGCTCTTTCAAGGCAAACATATTTGGAAATAGATTGAGAGCCAATCCAAAGTCAGCTGGTTCCACGAGGTACGTTGAAGGCTGGGGTTTTGGAAGCGGCGTGTCAATCTTCATTAACCGGAAAGGGGAAGGGGCTTCGGGAGCCACTGGCCATGCAGGATCCGCAACCATCCGGGGCCCCTCGGGTTGCTTTTGAGCTTTGGCACAGGACGCCTCTTTGAGGCATTTGACAGCCAAATAAGTTAACTTGAAATTTAGGTGTTGTTCTAGAGTGGTTGGTTATACGGAGTTTTAGAAACTTGAAAATGCATTTTGAGCACGAGGTAGCTCTATAAAAGTAAAGCCATGAGTCATGGGAAGGTGTGGGGAATGGGCAGGTTGCTGAATGTTGTGAAATGCAAATAAAAAGTTGGCAAAAGGAACAAAATAAGTCGAGCAGATGGATGGCAGACGCCGGCTTGCTGTGAAATGAAAATCCATGAAAAATTAATGAAATAGAAAGATTGTGCTGAGGATGAGGGCAGAGCGGCCGTGGGCTCTGCAGGCCCTGCAATGCCACAGTCGTCCCCGCCGGTGTCACCCTGGCTGGCGAGGGACACAGCCCTGCACCGCCGGCCGGAGCCCCACGTCCTCCGCTTATCTCGCTCACAGACAGCTCAGGAGGAAGGGCTGGATTTCGTGATAAAATCAAATTGATTCAACCGTTAACCAGCATCTAATTGTGTGGTGCTTGTTTTTTTCCTCTTTCTCTTTTTAAAAAATCTGTATTAGTGCCTCTGGTTTCTAGTGACCCGTGTAATAACAGTAATTGGAGATTGCTTCAAGGGCATTAGATATGATGAACGAGTTTGAATGCAGAATAAAAATATGGGATTCATGTATCCACAGCTAAACAGGGGTGAGTCGGTTCCTGCAGAAGCACCACCCCAGGAGAGCGTTATGTAAGGAAGCTCAGAAAAGGAAATTGTCTTTTTTTTTTTTGAGGCATGAAAAGATAACTTATGCCCTAAAAGCTTTTAATGTTCAATTTTAAAACTATACATGTATATATAGTATGACATATATACACACATACATATTATATATATACATGTATATTACTATGTATGTATGTATGTATATGTATATACACGGTAAAAACAGCCGAAACATTTGAGCAATTTTTATAATTCTCTACTTCTTTTTCCAAAATAGTAGAAAATGA